ACTCTCACTTCCAGGACGACGGGCCGAACGACTCACACCACGAGGAGCCCGAACGACTCACACACAAGGAGGGGCCCGAACGACTCACACCAGGACGAAGGGCCCGAACGACTCACACCACGAGGAGCCCGAACGACTCACACACAAGGAGAAGCCCGAACGACTCACACCAAGAGGAAGGAAGGGCCCAAACGACTCACACCACGAGGGGCCGGAACGATTCACCTATCTGCGACGCACTGACAACCGAACTCCTGCATTAGCTCTGTCGTGCGCTCCCTGTGCAGTTCGAATTTGTCTAGTTCTTACCCACAGGCCTCCACTCAGCACAGAGCGACGTAGACATGATATTGACGAAGGCGAGCCATCCAGGGCACTGCAGGGGGGAGGGCTCGGGCCAGCAGCTCGGTTGGCATCATTCTCATTAGTAGATCGACTGGCATCTCCGTGAACTCTGCCACACGCCCTCAGGTGTTGGGAAGAAGAGCGTCCGTGCGGAGCTAAACTCACTGCAGAAGAGCGTCCGTGCGGAGCTAACTTGACTTGCCCCACAATGGCTACGGAAAACCGCTAGGGAATCGTCACGCCTTCGACCCTCTGATGGCAAAACCCTTGTGGACCTTAGCCTTTGTCACACTCCCTTGTGGACCCGAGTCCCTTGTCTCGACTCCCAGGACAAAGCAATAGTAACATCTTCAGAGCCTGCACGACCAGTAAACCCGATAAGAACCCGAAAAAAAACAGGAACACCAGGCACCAGCAAAGGCGATATCGGAGGAACCAGCAAAGGCGAGATAACAGGACCCGGCAAAGGAACCAGGACCCAGCCGGGGCAGTGAAGACAGGGGGCCTCGGGCCAGCAGCTCGGTTGGCACGTCTGGTTCTCTCTTTTTGCATCTGGCTGGGTTGTTCTGGGGATTTTCTGTGGTTTTCGTGAGTTTTCTGTGAGTCGTTTGGGGGGTTTTCTGTGAGTCGTTCGGGCCGCTCGTTTTCTGGTGAGGTTTTTGTGAGTCGTTCGGGCCGTTCGTTCGTCTGTGCATGCGTCTGGGGGTTTTCTGTGAGTTGTTCGGGCCGCTCGTCCTGGTGTGGCGTGACCCGTTTGGGCCTCTCGTCCTGGTGTGAGTCGTTCGGGCCCCTCCTTGTGTGTAAGTCGTTCGGGCTCCTCGTGGTGTGAGTCGTTCGGGCCCCTCGTCCTGGTGTGAGTCGTTCGGGCCCCTCCTTGTGTGTGTGTGAGTCGTTTCGAGCTTTCTGGCAGTTGACCGACTTGATGAGGTGCGACGACGAATGGTACAACTCGTTTCTGGGCCAGTGCAGAGCTGGAAACCTCAGCATGGAGGACTATAGCTACTTCCACGGGCTCCCGACGTTGACGTCCCCGAGCGCGGGTAAGTGCGGTTGCAACGACGACGTGGTGGACGACCCAGTACTGGGTCCGTATCGCAAGACTTGGAAGCAGGGCTTCTCCGGAGGGTGCGCCGACATGGCGGCGCTTCTGAAGTCGCCAGAGGGCGAGTGCGCGGAGTGCCGTGCGGAGCGAGGCAAGAGACACAGGGTTTTGACCGACACTGACTCGCTGGCGCCAGAGCTTCGCATGAACCCATTCAGCGGCGCACCAGCTCTGTACACCTTCAACGTGCCCAGGTACTTCGCGACGAACCTGCGCGCGAGGGAGTTTGCCAAGCAGACAAACGTTCAGCTCTCGTGGTGCTACGCTCGAGATGTGCCGTTGCGCCCAGGAGATCGCGATTTGCCGAAGGAGAAATTGGACGAGAAGTTGTTCTCCTGGCTGAAGAGGCACGACCAGGAAACGGGCAACATTCCGAGCTTCTACCCATTGGCCAAAGGCATGCCCATTCGGTTGACGGAGAACGTCGATCGAATCAGACAACTCTACAGACACCGGAAGGGAATGATTTACGGATGGACTCTGGCGCCTGATTGCAGTCCCCAGGAGATCGAGGGGGAGTTCATATTGGATAGGTTGCCCTTGGTAATGTATATCCATTTCCCAGAAGCACAGTGGACAATAGGGAAGCTGCCGACGGGCGTGTGCCCGTTGAAGCGGAGATCCAGGACCTGGAAAGTCAACGAGCGCACGGGCGTCGAAGCTCGACGCACGGGCTTCTGGATTCTCCCCGACTTCGCTTCCACCGCTCACATGATCCAGGGCGCGACGTTGGAAGCGGCGTTCGCCGACCTGCAGCATTGGTCCAGCAGGGCGTTCATGACAGCTCAGATTGCTGCCTACGTATGCTTGTCCAGAGTGAAGCGATTGCCAAACATCTGCGTCGTGCAGCCGTTCTCGACCTTTCTGTTCGGCCTCGGCAACCCAGTGGGGCCCGAGCGACTGATGCGGAAGCTTTCTGGCCAGATCACAGCAGGCGAGGCGATTCATGAACGGAGTGCGCTTGATGACGATGCCGCTGAAGCTGAGAAGCTGGACCCCATGGCGAGGAAGCACCTGTGCGCCTGCTGCTACCTCGAAGGTAAGCAGGAGTACATGCTCGACGCCCGCGACTTCGGCATGAAAGCAGGCGCTGACTTCTACGAAAAGTACGTGTCGCAGGGGAGGTGGGCGAGATGCGTGGACTGCGCGCGCGAGGTCGGCGCAATGCCCCCTCGGGCTGCGCGGGCGGCCGAGGCTTCCGAAAGAATGCCCGGTGGAATCCGCGCACGGACACACCCGCCAGACGAGTCACTAGCAAGCGTGTGTGGAACAGTGAGGGATGGAAGAGAGCCTCACCACGGCGAAGAAGGTGACTCCTGCGTTGCAAGAAGTTTTTGAGGGAATCTGTGTGGGGCGCGACAATTATGAACCACCATCGGCATTACGATCGAGACCTCGTGTGCCCGGGCTGCGCAGAGCGAGGGTTCGCGCCCGGCAAGTACGACGAACACCAGTGCGAAGATTGCTTGGAGCAGTTGGGCAGCCTGGCGTTCGACAAAAACGTGTTGTACAACGCGAAAAGGCAAGAGAAGTCCCGTTTGGTGTGCCTGGACTGTCAGACGAAGCTGCGGTGCGGTAAGTGTGCAACGGCATATGAGCTGAAGTACTGGTCGAATGCTGAACGCAGGCATCATTCGTCTTCTCGGGGCACAACGTTAGTGTGCAAGGCGTGCCGTGCGCAAGGATTCGACCCGTCGGAACTTGCGACGTACATGTGCCAGAGGTGTTCCTGCAGTTTCGGGGCTCGTAAATTCAACCCAAAGCAACTGGACAAGCACAAGCATGGGAATCGTCAGAAACTGCAGTGCAAGGAGTGCGTCGCTGATATCGACGAACGAGTGCGCCACCTGCGCACAGCGCTGCAGAAGAGCAAGCGCAAGTGCAAGTGCCATTGCCGCATTCACCAAGCTCAATGTCCGCTGACCCCCGTGCATTTCGGAGAAAAACGCTGGCCGGGCAGCGACGGAACGATATCCGCCGACGACCGGAAGTTCTTGGACGAGTTGCAACCGACTCCCGAATGGTGGAACAAAGCCTGGGGACGATGCAGTACGGCGCGGATGCCGTCAGCCCAGACGTGTTACTGGGGACACTATCCCTTGGTAGAGTGAGACTGAACACGGGATGTTGCCTCAATGGACTCGAAGGTTCCTGTATACATGGCTACGCCCTCGGTATCCATCCAATGGTGGATGTGCCACTACACATCTTCCGTGGCGCCTCGGGTGGCTTGTACTGTGGGAAACAGATTGCTGGTGGAACGTGTACTACCCTCAGCTTGTCCACGTACGCTTCACGTATGGGTCTACTATAGGAAACAGCTTGCTGGTGGCACTTATATTGTAGACGGCTGAAGCTCGTACTGTAGTTCGCGGGTGCTGGATTCTGCATCTGTGATGGTGTTTGTTATCTTGTTATGGTGAAAGTGCTGGTTATTCTACTCAGTGTTGGATCATTGGTGCGAAGAGTACGTTTCGTTTATAGTCTGTCCTCCAGTACTGGTGAGGCCCTTGCGTACCGCTATGGATGTCACGCTGGTAGAAGAGAACAGCTCTGGGTATTGTGAGACTGAACAGTGGATGTTGTCTCCATGGAGTCCGTCCTTTCTGTATCTATGGCTGGAGCTTCGGTATGTATCCAATGGTTCATGTGCAACTACTTTGCTTCCGTGGCGCGTCAGGTGAGTTCTAATGTAGTAAACATATCGCTGGAGGATGTTCAACGGCATCATGGCAGAGACCGTAGCGCTCGATGGCAAAACATGTGTGTCCTCTTCACAGTCCTCCTCCTCCGCCTCTGCTTCGTGTGTTTCGTTTCAGCCATGTCCCTGGAATTGAACTTTTCTTGGGTTGTGGTTCCTTAGCCGGTTCCTGTTGCCTTGGCATCGGTGGCTCCTCCGATGCGGGCTATGGTAGTGATTGGATTTTCGACAGATCAGCTGTGCCCTCGGCTGTTTTACCCTGCGTGGCCTTTTTATCTTGTCCTGGCGTCCTCAGCACGTCATCGGATGATTCTGGGTAGAGCCCAAGAGTAAAACAGAAACTCCTTGTGCCTCCCTCCATACTCCGAAGTTCTTAATAAGCGTCGGGGGGGCGTCACCCCCGCCGACAGTCCTCCGTCGACCCCGTCGCGGGCAGGCACCGCGCGCCGAAGGCGCTCCGACCCCCGTCGTGGCCCCCGTCGGGGGGGTATCTCCCCACGCTTATTGAGAAACCCAGAGTATCCTTCTCTCCCACTCTCTTTGTCGCGAAGCGTGCTTGCGCTTTCCAAGAGGCCATGGCCTCCCCCGCCTGGGCTCAGCTGGGCCCAGAGGATTGTATTATCCGCAGTGGTGGCTCGTTCTCTCTGGAAGAGGATGACGAGAAGGACGGGGAGGAGGAGGAGGAGGAGGAGGAGGAGGAGGAGGAAGAGGAGGAGGAGGAGGAGGAGGAGGACGGGGAGGAGGAGGAACTCTCCCTCGGCCCTTCGACTCCAGACACGCCTGGGCGTCTTGTGGCGCGCGCGGCACCTCCTTGGCATGTTGCCCTCCCCCCCCGCCCGCCCGCCCGCGGAGGAGCTGGTGCAGCCGCGGAACGTCTGGAGCCCAGCGCACGCCCAGCGCAGGATCGGGACGGCCGAAATGGGTGCGTGCGGTCGGACGGGGCCAGGCCGAAGATAGAATTCCGTTCCAGAGAGTTCCGGAATACTCTCAGCGTTTTGGAGCTCTCTGAGAAGGCCGCGGCGCCCGAGACATCTTCCAGAGTCGCTGGATCTCAGAGATTCTCGATTTTTCCGTACCCATGTTTTTCCTCGTTTTCGCTTCGTCTTAGCGGAGAGAACGGGTACAGTACGGATTCGGTTGACCCAGAAGTGGGTCCAGCGGCAAGAGGGTGGTGCAATAGATTTGGTGCAATAGGTTTGTAGGGTTGCAACATATTTGGGGCGTGCAGTACATTCCGGTTCGCAGATGTACTGGTGGACTGTCGCGTGCAAGACATGAGATGCAGTACAGTGCAACACAATTTTCTGGCGCAGTGTATTTACAATACAGTTGCCCCGAATATCTTGCAACACCCCCTTTCAGTCGGACCCCCCAGTTGGACCCCCTCTTTGTTTCAACCAAAGCAGAGACCGACAGCATTCCCTGATCCCTTCGAGCAAGCCTCGCTGTCGGTGTCGCCGCGGCCGTTTCCCATGTGAGACACGATGCCCCCCGCCCACCGGCGGCCGCTGTCGGTTTCGGACAGCACTTGCCGTTTGGGCGTCGTTCCGATTTTTTACGAACCCGTTTCTTACCAGCCTGGAACATATCCCTATCCCTATGCTGGGCACCTCCTCATCACGATGCCAATCTTAGGGATTCCCTTATTTTTTGAGGGCGAATCCCTAAGATTGTCATCGCCTTTTGGCGTGTCGATCTTAGGGATAGGGATACGTTCGAGGCTGGTAAGAGCAAGACTCGCTGTCGGTGTCGCCGCGGCCATTTTTTTCCATGTGAGAGACGAGGCCGCCCGCCCACCAGCGGCCGCTGCTGGCCTCGGACAGCACTTGCTGTTGGCTTGGCATCGCTCGGACGTGTGCATTTTTCCTTCGGCGAGGACCATGGAGGAGCATCCTTTATCATTAGGCGAGAAAACCACGCACGAAACCGAAAAACACGCAGGGAATGGACGTCCGAGCGATGGCCAGGCACTTGCTGTTTGGCGTCGTGCCCATTTTTTACGCACCCGCTTCGGGCGTCCGAGCAGGAGCCCGCAGACGGGCCGCCGCAGGACCAGGACGCCCATGCGCGGGCTTTTGGGCCGGCTTCGCGGGGCTGGCTCAAGGGACAGACGGCGGCATAAACACATCGTTTCGGAGGTCCGCGTGGATTCCCGGCGCCGAGCCCTTCTGGCGGCGCCTCCGGCGCCGCTCCCGATACGGTCCGCGCGCCTGGGAGCGGGGTCCGACGCAGATCCAAGGAATTCGCGCGGAGCTCCGAACATCTGCGCTTATGCATGCTTTGTTCCTCGATTGGCGCTGTCATCCGAGCGACGCAGAAAAAGAGGATCGTTCGCGCCGACACTCGCGCGTAAGCTGCCCGCGGAAGGCCGCGCGTATGCGCCCCGTGCTTCCAATGAGGCATGCCGCGCTGGCGGCCAGCGTAAGCCAACGCGTAGGGTCGCTACATCATCTCGCGTAAGACCTGATTATTTTCGTCGCTCATTTGATGGTCGTCGTCGCCGCCGCTGCCTCTCTTCAGGCCTCCCAATCTGGGCTCCGAGCAGATGGGGGGGCCAGAAGATGGCACTGCATCGCCGACGCATCGGCGATGCGGCTGGGTGTGGAGCCCGATTTTCTCCACGACGTTGCCGATACCGCGGACTTCTCGCCGACGTTGCCGGTGCATCGCCGATGCATCGGGGATGCATCGGGGATGCATCGGCGATGCAGCGCGATGCTCCGATTTCTCCAATCGCGTCTGCTCGGACACTGTGTGGGAGGCCTCCAGTTAGGTGGACAAGCTCAGGGGTGGGATGCATCGACCGTGCATCGGCGATGCAGCGCGATACTCCGATTCCTCCAATCGCGCCTACTCGGACACCATGTGGTAGGCCCCCAGTTAGGCTGATATAAGCTCCATGGTGGGATGCATCGACCGCCAATCGCCCACCCCGCCCAAGATCAGGAGGAACAAAAAACACACAGACACAATTACTCGTCGATCCCCAGGAAAATATGGGAAAATATGGGAAGTGGGGGGGAAGACAAAAACCCAGGAAATATGGGAAAATATCGGGAATCCTTTTATTTGTGTCTGTTTATTTGTGTGTCCCAGTTCCCCTTCACAAGACCGTGCGCTTTCGCTATCAGTGGCTTGTCGCCGATCTATCGGCGACGCATCGCCGATCCATGCTCGACGTCTCCCCCCATGATATTGTTCCCTCCTGCCTCTGCCACTTCTCGTCGCCGCCTCCACCGCCGCCGCCGCCGCCACTGAGAGAAGGCACACATTGCCGGCTTTCTTGCTGGCCCGGGAGGGGCCCAGGGGGGATTATCAGACGTGGATCCGGGGCGAGAAACTCCCCCTGGGGAAGCGGTTTGAGACCATGGGGCCGCGGATAGAACAACACACGTTCAGATGTCGGCGAATGTTGATACCGTTGCTCGTCCTGGAGGGCCCCACTGAAGGACCCAGTGGCTAAGTTCGCATGCGTCGCGTGGCCGTTGAGTCCGGCTAGATCTGGTTCAATCCTAGGCTTCATTTGGCACAATCGGGCTTAATGGCTGCTTGATTGTGCCTAGTAGCCCTTCACCGTTCTTACGGAGACCTCCCTAGAGTTGCCTCCTGAGGCTCCGCTCGGACGGGGCTGGGACGAGGATAAGTCCGTTCCAGAGCGTTCCAGCACGCTCTCAGAGCGTCCGTCCGGAACGCTCTATAAGAAGGCCGCGGCGCCTAGATATCCTCCAGAGCCGCCGGATCTCAGAGATCCCCGATTTCTGCTCGCTGGATTTTATCCTCGTCCTGGCTTCGTCTTATTCGCACGGCGCCCCCTCCAGTCGGCGATGCATCGCCGACGTCAGAGATGCCGCGCCGATGCATCGCCAATACATCGGCGATGCGGCGCGTTCCACCGACCACTTGGGAGACCCATAATTCAGGAGGGAAAGAAACACACAGACACAATTAATCGTCGATTTCCCAGAAAATATGGGAAAATATGGGAAGTGGGGGGGAAGACAGAAACCCCGAAAATATAGAAATGGGGAATATTTTTAATTGTGTGTATGTATTTGTGTGTCCCAGTTCCCCTTCAATAGTATCACCCTCTCCCTTTGCCCCTGCCCCGAGTAATCCGGGCCAGCTGGCGCCGGTGAAGCTTGCCGCGAGCCACGGGGCGCTCCCTGGGCGCTGAGGTGGGCTCGCGAGGCGTAGCGGGGCGGCGGTGCGCGTCATCCTGGGGACGACGCCGACGACGACGACGACCACCACCACGACCACGACCACGACCACGACCACGACCACCACCGCGACCACCACGAGCACAGCCACGACCACGACCACGACCACGCCGACGACGACGACGACGCTGAGGAGTGTGGAGGAGGGCAGGCAGGGGGAGGGTGAGAGTGTGTTTTTGTTCCCTCACCAGGGCAACGCTTGTTGCCCGGGCCAATTCCGCCTCCCCCGAGGTAGCGCTGACGATCGTGCCGGTCACCACCCACCAAACCACCCCAGTCCAACCCGAAGGCCCCAAGTTGTTCTCCATTCCCAGTGGTGGGGGCGTCGGGAGCATGGACAACACACACATGGGACCCGCACCCCCACAGCCCCGAACTTTGGGTCTTCGGGCTGGGCTGGGTTGGTCTGGTAGGTACAGTCGGCCCGGATTGGTAGGTCGACCCTGCCAAATCAAGGGTACTCTGGTATCCTGTGCCTCGCGACCCATGCCTTCTTACACTCCTATGGCGATGTGGCCCTCGGAAGGGTCTTGTGTCCTTGCGCGTGTCCTGTCCAATCAAGGCCGACTGTAGCCAACTGGGAGGACGAGGTGGCCTGGACCCTGGACCCCCCCGACATGCTGGGAGCACGCAGGCGAGTGGTGCGCCGGTGGCGCGGACTCGCCATGGCGGGTGCACACGCCGCGGCCGCAGTCGCCGTTGCCCTCCCGCCCGAACACCGCCCCCACCCCCCCCGAGGCAGGGCTGGACCTCAACGGTGTGTTTGGTGGTCTCGTGGGCCGTGTTCGTTCCGGCGTCGTTCTGCAGCCAAGGGGCGGAGCGGAGACCGAGGGCGGGGCAGGCGAAGACCAAGCGAACACGAAGAGCACCGTCTAGGTTCGGCCCTGCCCCCAGGCAGCGGACTGTTGCCAGATGGAGAAGGCAGAAGCGGTCGCGGGGGAGCCCAGAGGACTTGGCATCGCTCGGACGTGTGCACTTTTTCCTCGGCGAGGATCATGGAGGAGCATCCTGGACGACTTCGCGAAACAAGCACGCGCGAAACCGACCAAATGCACGAGGCGTGGGCGTCCGAGCGGTGGCCAGCGAGGGGAGGGCGGGTTTGAGGCCGGCGGTGCTCGGCCTTCGGGGGGGGGGTCCAGGGGCAAGCCGTGGCTCTCGAGGCAGGTCGGGGGACGGGTGCGCCTTTGGGCCCGGGGGAGGGGTCTGCAGGCCGACCTGTGAGCTGCCGTCATCTGCACGCACGAAATGGGTACTGAAAGAATGGGTACTATGCCCAACAGCAGCTCTTGTTCATTCTGAACAGGACTCGCTGTCCACGCCGCCGCGGCCTGTGTCCATTCGAGACAGGAGGCCGCCCGCCCAACAGCGGCCGCTGTCGGTTTGGGACAACATTTGCTGTTGGGCATAGTACCCATTTTTTCGGCACCCATTTCGGGCGTCCAAACGTCATCTCACGGCGCCCTGATCCTGGCATCGCTCGGACGTGTGCATTTTTTCCTCGGCGAGGGCCATCGAGGAGCATCCTTGATCATTTGGCGAAACAACCACGCACGAAACCGGGAAAAAAAAACACAGGGAGTGGACGTCCGAGCGATGGCCAGTGATTCGGGGGTGGACAGACCTCCTACCCTGACACGTCGATTAAGGAATTGGCCGTTTTCGGTTCGCGAGAAGGCGTCGCGGCCGTCAGTTTTGCGGGTCCAGGTCCGTCGGTTTCGGTCCCAGGCCGTCTTCACCTAAGGGGAGGTCTACCAAAGGGAGGTTTGTCCACCGCGGACTGATCTGGGGAGCGGGGGGCCCTGTGGCGAGGGAAGGATCGGGGGAAGGACGAGGAGAAGCTGCAGCATCACGAGGAGGAGGAGGAGGAGGAGGAGGAGGAGGAGGAGGAGGAGGAACTGAACCCAAGATTCGGTGGCAGTGTTAGGGGGAAAAGGCTCAGGGGGGGAATGCATCGACCCCCAAACGTTAAGTCGGGCCTGTCCCCCTACAGGGGGATTTAAACATACCCCCGAAATAATCACAACATATTCCGAAAATTGTCTGGGGACTATTTTTGGGGGTATTTGTTTCCACCTTTTTGGAATGTTTTTTTGGGGGTTCCTTATTTTTCGTCGACAATCCCCCTGTAGGGGGACACGCCCGATATAACCCAAACGCCCAGGGCCCGGGAGCTCGCCCCCCGCCCAGGACCTTGCGGCTTCGCCATCGGGGGCCTGTTGCCGATGCATCGGCGACATCTCTCGCCGTTGCCAGGGCGATGTTCCCCCCCCCCCGAGCCAGTTCCCCGCCGAAGCACGGTGAGAAGGAGGAGGAGGAGGAGGAGGAGGAGGAGGAGGAGGAGGAGGAGTAGGAACTGCAGCAGCAGGACGAGGAGGAGGAGGAGGAGGAGGAGGAACTGCAGCAGCAGGACGAGGAGGAGGAGGAGGAGGAGGAGGAGGAGTGCCAGAGTAAGCACAAGCTGTGTCGACGACGCTGCAATTCACCGTCCCGTCCCGCGCCCTCTCCTCGCCAGTCCCTGCACGATGTTTTTCTGACCGCACGACGCGGCCCCCCTCGAAAGGTGATCTCCCTGCGAGCCCCTCATTTCGCACGGGAGCTCCGTTTCCAGTCGCTTTCATCCTTCGAGCTCTAGGGACTGCGACAGGGTGGGGCTCGGAGGTTCAAGAATGTGCCCCCTCAGAGGGGGAGAATGTACCCATAACTCTACCCTTCCCTCGTTTTCCCCTCTTTGGGCCTCCTGGGCGTCTGTCGTCGCCACCGCTGGGTTCGCCTCGCCATCCTGGTCGGAACGCACAGCAGGAGAGGTCCGAGGAGTGGCGGTATCGGTACCTTTTGGTCTCCCCACCCCCCTCGTTTAGTTGCTGCGCAGCTTGTATCTTGTGGGCGTACGTAGGGTCAGACAAAGAGTCAGGCCAGAGCCCCATCCTGAAGATGAAACGCCCTCCATCTGTGCAGCTGCTCCACGTTTCTATACTCCAAGCATGTCCGAGGAAGTCCCAGGCGAGAGCCCAACTTTGGAAAGCTATTGGCCTCCATCCGTACGGTGCGGGCCTATGCCAAGAAACACCCTGCTTGCCTCCAGGCGTTCCAATGGTTCTGCGATGGAACGCGTGACGCTCCCACACCAAAGATTAATGACGTCCTGAGGTCTCAGGGTTGGTGTTCTTGTGGAAGGTTTCTTGAGGACTGACCTCCACTGCATACCCGTTGGAAGCTTTCTGGCAGGCAGGGGGAGGCTGCGTCGTCGAGCTTTGCAGAACTGCGCTGGGCCACGAGTTCCCTGCCTTTTCCTTGCCTTCCCCCCCCGTCTCCCTCCAAGTGTGCGGAGCAAACACATGGGAATGCGCTGCATGAGCGCCAGCACCTTGGAAGGTCTTGAGGCGTATGTGTGCGGCGCTAAGGCGAGAGCCACATGTCGAAGATGTACCCGCTCCATCAGTGCATCTGTCGGAAGCTTATTAAACGCATGTGCGCGGCTCTAAGGTGAAGGTGAGAGCGACATTTTGACAGGGCCCTCAATCCGCGTAATTTTTGGGACTTGCAAGCTCCGAAAGCAGCACATGCCGAGGAAGCCTCGAGCGAAACGCTTGGCCCGGCCTACGAACAAGCCTGGCTGTGCGACAGGGAGGAGGCGTTCCGAAGGAGAAGGGATGGATGATGATGCTGCTGCTGCTGATGATGATGATGCTGATGGTGATGATGCTGATGATGATGATGACGATGATGCTGATGGTGATGATGCTGATGCTGCTGCTGATGATGCTGATGATGCAGATGGTGATGATGCTGATGCTGATGGTGATGGTGATGATGATGATGGTGCTGATGATGATGCTGATGATGATGATGCTGATGATGATGATTATGATAATTATGAGGATTCTGGTGATGTTGATGATGCTGCTGATGCTGATGATGGTGATGATGATGATGATGATGATGATGATGATGGTACTGCTGCTGCTGCTGATGATGCTGATGCTGATGCTGATGATGGTGATGATGATGACGATGACGATGATGATGAGGATGATGATGCTGATGCTGATGCTGATGATGATGATGATGATGATGATGATGATGATGATACTGATGATGCTGATGCTGCTGCTGATGATGATGATGTTGATGATGATGATGATGCTCATGATAATGATGCTGATGATGAGGATGATGACGATGATGATGATGATGATGATGCTGATGATGATGATGATGGTGGTGATGATGATGATGCTGATGATGGTGATGATGATGATGATGCTGAGGCTGATGATGATTATGATGATGATGATGCTGATGATGAGATTGATGATGCTGCTGCTGATGATGATGATGGTGATGATGATTCGCATTACTACTATCATTATTAGGAGGAGGAGGTATGAATGATGAGTATGATGCTGCTGATGATGATGATGATGATGATGATGCTGGTGAAGATGATGATGATGATGAGGCTGATCGATGAGTCGATGGCTACGACGACGATGCTGATGCTGATGATGAGGATGATGAGGAAGATGAGGATGATGATGCTATGATGGAATGATGATGAGGATGATGAGATGATGATATGAGATGATTGAGATGAGGTGGAGGGAAGATGATGATGAAGAGATGATATAAGATGATGATGAATGAATGATGATGAAGAAGCTGATGCTGATGAGGATGTTGATGATGATGATGAGATTATGATGATGATGATGATTGAAATGTTTTGATGATGATATGAATGATATGATGATGATATGATGATGATGATAGAATGAGGAGGAGAGGAGTAGAGAAGGAGGAGAGGAAGGAGGAGCAAGAGGAGAGGAGGAGAAGGGAAGGAGGAGGTGGGGGAGTGGAGAGAGGAGAGGAGGAGAGGAGGAGGAGGAGGAAGGGAGGAGGAGATGCAGGAGGAGGAGCCGGAGAGGGGAGGAGGAGGAGGAGAGGAGGAGAGGAGGAGGAGGAGGACGAGATGAAAAGGAAAGTTTATGGATAGGAGGAGAGCAGGAGGAAGGAGGAGGAGGAGGATGGGAGTGAGGAGAAGGAAGCTGAGTTACTCAGAAGGAGCAGGGATGGAGGAGGAGGAGGCGGAGGAGGAGGAGGAGGAGGAGGAGGAAGAGGAGAGAGGAGAAATAGGAATAGGAGGACGAGGAGGATAAGGAAGACGGCATGGAGGAGTTGCTCAGAAGGGAAAGGGATGGAGGAGGATGGGACGGGGTCGAGCAGCAGCAACAACAGCAGCAGCAGCAGCGCAAGCACGAGCCAGCGGGGAGGAGGGGGAGACGAGGATCCGTTGGCGCGGCGCACGGAGGCGCGTTTTCACCGTCCCCCCCTCCCCCCTCCTCCTTCCCTGACCTCCCAGCCCCCCCCCTCCTTCCTCTTTCCTCCCTCCCTCCTCCTCCCTCCCTCCCTCCTCCTCCCTTCTCCTCCTCCCCCCCTCCTTCCTCTTTCCTCCCTCCCTCCTCCTCCCTTCTCCTCTTGACCTGCCTGCCCAGTTTCCTCCCTCGGCGCGCTCAGGCGTGCAGGCGGTGTTCTCCTCCCCCTCCTCCTCCCTCCTCCCTCCTCCTCCCCTCCCTCTTTCCACTTTCTGCCGTCCCCCTCCACCCGCCCCTCCCCCTCCCCCTCCCCCCCCCTCCTCCTCTCTCTCCCCTCCCCCCCTCCCTCCCCCTCCTCTTCTCCCCCTCTCCCCCTCTCCCCCCCCTCCTCCCTCCTGCGCCCTCCTCCCTCCTCCTCCCCCCCCCTGCCGCTCTTTCCGCGGGGAGGGGAGGGGCCGGTGGGCCCCCCGCGGAGCGGGGTGCCCCCCCCTCGCCGTTCCAGGGGCGCGCGGCCCGCGCCGCCAGCGCCACGGCCGCCTCGCCTCCAGAGGGGCGCTTCGGTGGCCCCGGGAGCGACTAGCAGAGCGACACGCTGTGCGGTCGGGAGCCTCGAGACGGGGGTCGGTGCAGACGGGGGTCAGCCAGAGCGCCCGATCTTGCAGGATCCTGCAGCGCCAGGGTCGCACTGACCCGGATTTGGGTGCAGGACCCTGCAGGATCCTGCAGGATCCTTCGCATTGACCCGGGTTTGGGTGCAGGATCTTGCAGGATTTTGCAGGCCTGATTGACCCGGGTCTGGATTGACCCAGGTCAGAAGATCCCCGATGCGGCCTTGTTCGGACCTCTGTTGGGTGTCGTTCGATCGGAAACTGGAACATATACACTACTAGCGGCGGGTTGTTTTTTTCAATCCCACGACTTTTGAGGGTCGGGGGCGGCGTCGGGGTGGTGTGATGTATACCTTTCCCCCGTTTTCCAAGGGAAACAACGAAACATTTATACACCAGGATCCCGTATACACCAGGATCCGCGTTCCTGTGCGAATTTCAGCGCAGGGTCGGAAAAAGCGTCGGTGTATAGAGTTCGTTTCCCTATTTTGAACCGTTCATCTCAAATGTTGGGTTTCTTTTCGAGGTTTGTTTGAAGCACCATCTCGTTTCAAACATCGTTGCGGCCCAGTCCTTGCGTGTACCGCTACTACAACCCTTCCCTCGTCGTCACGGGAGGGCTCGTCTCGCAAGATTCTCGTCTGAGTTCACCCCCGGCGAGGTCCAGGGAGAGTAGCGTCACATCGATTTGTTTGTGCTCCCCCATTCATGTCGGCCCAAGCTGATGACTGCTCGAGATCACTGCGTGTTTTCGAAGCCGGATCCGGCTAACAAACAAAAAATTGCGTGTTTTTGGAAGCTGGATCCGGCTTCAACAACACGCAGCTCTCCAGTGGGGGAGGGCCCGCTCGGACGCTCACTGCCCACGGAAGGCAGCTGCGCACCGACGCACATCGCCACCGAGCTTGGCCAGTGCCATCATGGGCTTTCTGGCCACGCGCAGGAGGGGGTAGGGGTAGGGGGAGGGGGGAAGGCTTCTCAGAAGCGCCCCTGCTTCTTAGAAGGCGCGGGCCTTCTTTGTAGATGCAAGGCCGGCGCCTTCTAAGAAGCAGCCTCCTCCTAAAGACGCCTTCCCCCCTCCCGGGAGGAGGAAGTCAAGGAGAGAAGGAGGATGAGGGTCATTGGGAGGAGGAGGGGGAAGGAGGGAAGGAGATGAGAGGAGGGAGAGGAGAGGAGGAGGAGGAGGGGGAGGAGGAGAGGAGGAGGAGGAGGGGAGGAGCAGGAGGAGGAAAAGAGGAGGGAGGCGGATGAGGGAGGCCTGCCCCCTGCCCCCTTGTGCGCGCCGCCACGCCTTGGGGGGGCGGCGCGCAGGGCCCCCCCCCCTTCGTCGAGGTCGGGGGGCGGCCTGCGGCAGGCTCGGGCCGTGCCGACGCGGCGGCGAGACCCCGCCGCGGGCGTCCGGGGTCGAGCGCCGCCCGCGGGGCCCTCCTCCTCCTCCTCCTCCTCCTCCTTCCTCCTCCTCCACCTCCTCCTCCTCCTCCTCCTCCTCCTCCTCCCCTCCTCCCACTCCGCCTCCTCCTCCTCCTCCTCCTCCTCCTCCTCCCCCCCTCCTCCTCCCACTCCTCCTCCCCCTCCTCCTCCTCCGTCTGCCGGCGCTGTCTGACGAGCGCGTCCTTGATTCTGACGGCCCAGTGTTCGTGGGATGTCGCACCGGGCTCCTGCCGAAGGCGTCCCTCTGCAAGAGCTTCGGCTTCGGCACCGCCCGTATCCGAGGCTATGCCTCCTCTCGGCCTCGCCCTGAGGCTCCGCCGCTTTCTCCTCCCCTCCCTCCGCCTACGTAATTCAAGCTCCGCGCGGCCCGCTCAGCTTCGACCGGAAGAGGTGCGCTCTCGACCCGCTGATCCAAAAAAACAGTGTTCGTGGGATGTCTGCGGCGGGAGCTCGCGTCAAAGTTCAGGGTGGGCCGCTCGCGCCGTTCTCGGGGTGGCCCCGTCGGGCCAACCTTGGTCCCCCGAGCCCGAGTCTTACGTCTCCCCGACTTCAGTTGCCCATCAGTTGCCAATCTTGCACGGGCTGGCGATCGAGCAGCCGCCGACCGTTGAGGGGAGCGACCCTGATGGGCCTGTTTTCCACCACCACCACCACAAGTTGGAGGGGGGAGGAGGAGGAGGAGGAGGAGGAGGAGGAGGAGGAGGAGAGGAGGAGAGGAGGAGGAGGCGGAGGAGGAAGGAGGAGGAGGAGGAGGCGGAGAGGCGGAGGAGGAGGAGGAGGAGGAGGAGGAGGAGGAGGGGGACCCCCTCCCTCCCCCCCCAGCTTGTGGTGGTGGTGGTGGTGGTGGAAAGCAGGCCCACTAGGAGCGGCCCGCGCGGTGCCGGACGCCCACGGCCGGGTCTGCCACGGCACGAGCGCGCCGCGCGCCGTCCTCCCAGGGCCCCAGGGCGGCCGCGGCCGGGTTTTCTGTTGCGGCAGTGTGCGGCGTGTGCGCGGGCCTGTGCCTCTGCCGGAGGGATATTCAGAAATAGTTAACAGAATCGTCCGGGGACTCTGGGCTATCTCCGAACATTTTCCGTTTTTTTGTTGTTGTTGTTAGTATTTTGGTGTGTTTTTGTTTTCTCGCCCATAAATATCCCCCCTGTATGGGGGACAGGCCCGACCTGAGCGTATGCAGCAGGGCTCGGCCTAGACTCGAAGGAGAAACAACCATGTAAACATAAGCTTTTGGCGCTCCGCGCGGAGCGCCAAAAGTTTGCGTGTTGCATGTTGCTGTTCTTCTTCTTTGATTCTTCTTCTTCTTCTTCTTCTTCTTCTTCTACTACTATAATAAACAGTCATTGGGCGATGTCGTGGACCGTTCTCGTTCCGAGTCCGGCCGGCGGCGAGGGCAGAGAGACGACACCACGAGGGAGCACACGAGGCCAACGCGGACACGGAAGACACCGCTTGTTTTCAGGCCGGACCCAGGTCACGTGTGCGGCTGACCTCCACTTCCCGCTTCGCTTCCAGCGGGAGAGGTTCGCTCTCGCCCCGCAGATCAACAACAAAAAGAAGAAAGTGTGCAGCGGACCTCCTCGGACCCCGCGGCCCCCCTGGGCCCCCCCCTGAGGGGGAAGCGGCCGTGGTGCCCCGCAAGCTGGAGGACACCGTGCCGGCGCGCCCTGGACCAACGAGCAAAAAAAGCGCGAGAGGGCGGCGTCCGGCGCGCGCGCGCGCGCGCTCTCTGGGGATGTGGCGGCCGCCGGCCATGCCGTCTTTGCGGCAGGCACGCCCCCTGAGATCCCTCAGCTCGGCGATTTTAGGGGAACGAGAAGTGGCATAAACATACAAACTCGGAGGTCCGCGCGGATTTCTCGGATCGGCGCTGGACCCCCCTCCCCTGGCGCGCGGAGCGCGCCAGGGGCGGCGCCGGAGGCGCCGCCAGGGGGGTCCAGCGCCGATCCGAGGAATCCGCGCGGACCTCCGAGTTTTTATGTTTATGCCACTTTTTGTTCCCCTAGATTTGGCCCTTGAGCGTCTCCAGGGCGACTGGGGAGGCGGGGACTACTGAACTGATGGGTTTCGGCGTCCTGGTATACTGGAATCCGTCAGTTCAGTAATCCTCGCCTCCCCAGTCGCCAGGGAGACGCGCAGGGGCCAGATCGCCGAGCTGAAGGATCTCTGGGCGCATAGTAGGGGGTGGCCCTGGGCCAGGATCTGCCGCATCACGTCCACCACTCCGGGGAGCCGATCTCGCCGATTTTCTCAAGCTCCAGGGGACCCGACGATGCTTATGAACTTCCGCCGCCTCCTGGGGTCGTGAGCACAGTGCCGGGCATGGCCACGGCGCTGCCCCAGAGGGCCTCCTCAGTGCCATTGCACCTCCCCAGCTCTTCCTGTACTGCCGGATTCGGGGGTGGACAGAACCCCCAACAGTGACACGTCGATTCGTGAATTGTCCGTTTTCGGTGCTCGGGAGGGCGCCGTGGCCGCTATTTTCCAGGCTTGCGCCCGCCAGGTCTGGGCCTCAGGTCGGTTTTACTAAACCACGTTTTGCTAAAGGGGGGTCTGTCCATTCCCGAACGATGTGGCGACCGGAAAGCCGCCGATCGTTCGAGCTGGGTGTCGCGTAACTGGGGGGGGGGGGCTGCGAAGGCTGCTACAGCCAGGGGCCCTCACCAGGGCCCCTGAAGGGGCCCTAGTGAGGGCCAAGAGAGGCCAAGAGAGGCCTTCGGGGCCCGAGAAGTGCACCTTCCCGCCCCTCTTCTTCTCGCCCTCTCTCGTCTGTCCATCCCCGACGGATTCCGTCCCTCGCGGGGACTCGAGGGCAACCGCGGCGCTGCCTTCCCCTCGGGGCTCGGAGCGGCCGCCCTGCCCTCTCGGGGGTCCGACCGCGGGCGGGAGGAGGAGGAGGAGGAGGAGGAGGAGGAGGAGGAGGAGGAGGAGGAGGAGGAGGAGGAGGAGGAGGAGGAGGAGGAGGAGGGTTTAGGCGCGAGGGCCACCCCGCGCCGCGCGCCGCGCAGCCCCGCGGGGCG